AAAAAAGAAGGGAGGTTTTCCGATTTGCCTTAGACGGCAAGCAGCGGCAAGGTCATTTGCTAATCAGGACGATCACCGGTTGCCGTTGAACTTGCAGCGCTGGAAATGGATTTTCAAACCTTCCAATCCTTGGATTTTTTACTCACACACAATTTTGTACTGGGAAACGCCTGGATCTGGTACAAATCCCAATTGTCAGCAAGTTCCTTGACCCGACAACGCTATGGTGACCGCCGTACGCGCGGCGGCCCGGGCCGCGGCCCCGGCGCACTGTGCCGGAGCGGACCGTCCGTCCAGGCCCTTCCGAGGTGTGAAAGGTGAGGCCCGGCCGCGGGAGTCCGGTGGAGCCTGCCGCCGCGGCGGCGGCTCACGGCCCCCGGCGTCCCGGACCGGGCCCGGGGTACACTGTCCGATCATCGGATCCCGGAGTCCACGGTCACGGAGTCACCGCGGCCCGGCGGCCGCGGCCGCCGACTCTTTACTGAAAGTTTTAGTCATCTTTGTCGGGGAACGTCGCGATATGAGCAGCGCAGGATGCTAGGTGAGTGAGGAGAGAGGGGAGAGGAGGGGAGGGGAGATGAACGATGGGAGAGAGAGGGCGGGGAAGGTTTGGAAGGATGATGTAGGAGAGGAGATGCTGAATCAGCAGGGAGAGAAGGAGGAGCGTTGCAGCAACATTCTTGATCCAGAGAGCGTTGTGGGGTCAGCAGTGAAGATGCGCTTGTGGGTTGAAGCCATTTTGAAAAGAAGTTGCATGAGTCGCAACAGATTCATGTGCTCAGGAGAAAGCAAGTTAGCCAGAGAACGGATTGATATCAGACCCGCTGTCTACTCCAAGAAAGCTATAGCATTCCTAGCATTGTCTTGATGAGCATGATCCTATCCATCGCCCCTTCTTGTAACACTCTCCTTCTCTCTGTTTTCATGCCTTCTTCCTCTTTGTCCTCCTGATTCTTGATCGGCGTTTTATTCTGCTGTAACGGTTCCAGACTTCTCCCATTCACCATCCCTGGATCTCTTCGGCCTTCCTTCCCTATCTTTATCTACCCCCTAGCCACTGCATCTTGTGTTTCTTGCTTCGATCTTAGGCTTGAAGGATAGAGCGTGCTTGTGACGAAGAACGTTTGCTCCACTCAAACAAAAACCTCCCCCGCGTCCTACTTTTGCTGACTCTCCTGACATGTTTGCAGAAAATAATACCAAGAGGCCTCCCTCCCGCAGACCAAGGGAGGGAGAAGAAAAGGACGAGCACAAAAAGCGACAAAGAGAGGGCAAAGCAACTGAGCGAGCAGCGCAGAAGAAGCTCATTGACCGCCTTGACACGCTTGTTCCTGTTGCTGCTGTGCCAGGCAGGTTTCTCAACGGCGGCCTCCGATCCAAAAGAACGACAGTGCAGCTCTACGAGGACTGTGTCAACCACTGCAGGCAGCTCCAGGACCCACATCGCGCTGATCCAGAAGGGGCACAAGAAGGGAAACATGGGTCCAGGGGACGGGGGGAAGGTGCAGAAGCACAAGGGCTTGACCCGAGTGGGAGGTTGCCGTGGGTGTCAGGGCAGGAGCTGATGGAAGCCTGTCTGAGCAGCAGCAGGGAGAGGCTGCTGGTTGTGGAGCTGCCTGAGTGGACGGTGGTAGAGATGAGCGCGAGGCTGCGGCAGGACTTTGCGAGCGCTGCGTTTGAGGGCGACCTGGTAATTCGTTGATACGCCTGAGCGCTTGTGCGTTGTGTGAAAGAGCGATGCATGGGGTGGGGAAGGGAAGGTTGCGAGATGGGGATGTAGGTCGGGGAGGTGGGATGACTGATGGCTATGGACATCGATGGGTCGTGAGCCTGCATACTTGGTTGCTAGCTTGATCTTGATCTTGTCTCTCCTCGTTCTCATCTCTCGTATCTCGGTTTCCTCCCTCAACTCACCCGTGCTCTGCCATCCCCTCCCCTCCCCTCCCCAGTCTTTCCTTATCTGCCTCGTTGTCCTCGCCCTCTTTTGCGTCTTCTTGCTCTGACCTCGATCTCGCTGTGCTGCATGCTGGCTGTGCTCGCTCGCTTGTGCATCTCTGCGGTTGACTCTGCTGGTTTCAGATCGGTCAGAGCTTCGGGCACTCGGTGGACTTTGACAGCTTGAACGCCCTTCGGTCCTTCAGCAAGCTTATGAGTCTTCGGCAAGGAGACGTCAGCTCCCTGTCGCTGGTGATCACCGTTCGGACGTTCCGGAGCAACTCGCTGGTGGATCGTCGGATGAGGATGACGACGCTGCATGCGAGGCCGGCGGGGAGCTCGATCTTCATGCTGGAGCCTGCGGGCGAGGAGACCCGGGGAGGAGGCGGGAGGGAGGAGGAGGAGGAGCCGGACTGGAACAGGAGGGACATGATGGGGTATAGCGGGTGCTTTGGGTATGACTTTGGGCGGTCGACGTCGACGCCTTATGACTTTGATCGGGCCATCTATGAGGTGCAGAGAGAACCGCGGTAAGAGCTACTTCTGCTCCTGCTTCTGCTCCTGCTTCTGCTCCTGCCCTTGCCCCAATCTTGCTCCTTCACTTGCCCCTGCTCCTGCTCCTGATCTTCCCTTTCTTGCTTCTGCCGCCTGCCGCGTGCCTTCCCTTCCCTCCCTTCCTGTCCGCCTGCTGGCTGCAGACTCCTTTCCAGACAGTTTCCTTTTTCCTTCCTCGTGCGGCTATGGGCTCTCCTCTTCGGTTCTCAGTCTGCCGCTGGCTGCCTCTTCTCCTCTCCCTTCCGCCTGCTCTTAGCAGCTCCTCGTTTCCTCGAGCCCTCTCGCTGCTGTCAACCACCAGCCGGGCCGGGGGACATGCTTGCTGGTCTGACCGTCAGTCGTCAGATCGGTGACCATGATGTCGATGATTCTCCCCAAGCTGCAGTCGGAAGCTTCATCCAGCGCCGTCATCGATCGAGTTGCTTCCACCTCGGCGATTAGTGAGCACGAAGAACCAGTGAGATGGCAAGGTTGACGATGTACAGACGCTCTGCAGAAGACGCTTTACTCTTTCATCCTGTCTCATCATGAGCTGCAAATCATGTTTGACAACAAGACAGCCCACGAGATACCGTTTGCAGTCTTTCTGCGGCTGAAGCTTCCGCTGGTGAGAGCTGCTTGGTGCTTGGATGGTCGCATTGCTTGCTCTCGTGCTCGCTTGCTGTGCTGCCTGTGTGTAGTCGGTCGCTCTCGCTCTCTTAACGTCACCTCGTCTCGCCCTCGCTCTCTGGTGATGGGAGCTGGTGGCAGTCACTGGGAGGATACCGGTCGCCGTGGGTGAAGGTGGTGGAGGCGAGTCTCAACGGCTCCTTGTGCGGCTCCTTCGCAGGTGAGCGACTTGCCGGGGGGCATGCGGCGACTGACGGGGAAGCAGGACACAATCAGCGAGGGGCCTTTCATGCTCACTGGAATCAGAACAGGGCAGAATTTACAGCTACATTGTTCATGATGAACACTGCGGGGTGAGAGGATCAAATGACGTTGAGAGCTTGCTGGCAGCTGCCTGCCTCTCTGCGTGTCTTGTGCTTCTTCTGCCTTCACTTTTCTCTCCCCATCTACCTCTTCTTCCTCTTACCCTTCCTGGTGGAACATTAGCGGTGACGAATGCATGCAGGAAGATCATTCACACGAGGACGTGGCGGACGTTTGCAGGAGGAGACATCTGGCAAGAGGGGCAGGTGGCGATCCATCCACGTCTTCTCTTCGTTCTTGCCTGTCAAGCATCCCTCCCCCCCCCTTCCTCCTCCTCCTCCTCCTCCTCCTCCTCCTCCTCCTCCTCCTTTCCTTGTAAACCCCTCCATCCCTTTATCCTCGTCCTCATCCTCGTCCTCTGCTTGTCGCATCTCCCACCGACCTCGATCCGTCTCTTCCTCGCGCTCTTTGGTCCCTGGGGTCGCTGACACGAGTCTGTGCGGCAGGTGTACAGGAGCATCATGGAGGTAGGGAGGAGGAGCAGAGGTCGGGTCGATGGAGAGCTGAAGTCTGTGCAGGAGCCCTTCGTGTACAAGTACGTCCTGAAGCGAGTTGGTGACGTCGATCGGGCGCTACAGGCGGACTGGCTGTTACAGCATGCAGAGGAGAGTGAGGTGTAGATATGTATATTTTGTTTTACTTTGCAAGTGAATGATACGCTGTACATTTCCTGAGAATAACTCCAATCTGGACGTGAGCACCCAGGCAGATTCGATCCAGATTTGTTGTTTGTTTTTGGTTTGACAGACAGAAGCTTCGAGTTCTCTTTGTATGTTTATTACTGAGGAAAGAAAAAATACAGCACAGAGACGAGCTCAGGAGAATATTTACTTTCCGACCCTCTTGACGACGCCGGTGTAGTCGCCATCGATTCCCTTAGCCTGGTAGGAGAGGAACTCCTGGAGCTTCTTCTCAGCCAGGGTGAGGGAGGCCTCAACCTTGGTGCTGGCGACCTTGACGCAGGATGGCAAGGGTAAGAATGAAGCAATAGAACTTGAACATCAAACGTGCCATCATCAGCTGTAACTCAGATATGTTTGTAATCAAAATCGCCCTGTAACGATACAGCTTTCATAGGAGAAGAATGAACAATCAAGCCGTGATTGAGCTTTGACAAAGAATACATGTCGCCCTGTAACGATACAGCTTTCATAGGAGAAGAATGAACAATCAAGCCGTGATTGAGCTTTGACAAAGAATACATGTTTAATTGTAGTACAAAACATTGGAAAGAATCTATAACAACGACGCAAACACTTACAGATCAGATCAGAAATAACTAAACGTACAACGACATGAATATATAATCGAACATGGTACAGCACACGAGATTGAAAGAAATCGTCTTGACACACAAACACACGGCACCCTGAACACTATCGGCGCTTCACTTGTTGCACAGCTTGTATCTTGTGCCGACAGACAGGGCAAGTCCCGCCATTATTCTTGATGTGTTCAGCGCAACCAATACACAAGTCTTGATGACCGCAAGGGAACAGGATCGCGTTTTTGGCCATCTCCATGCACACCGCGCACTCCTCTCCTTCCTCCACCTCTGTCCTTGGGACCGTCCCTGGCAATTTAAGGTGTTGGGGCAGCGAGATCGGCTGGGGCTCTGTTGGAGGTTGTAGGGGCGGTCGACTAACAGGCAGGCTGATCGCTCTTCGAGGAGGACCAAGGAAATCGCTCCATTCCCTCCTCATGCTCTCAAAGTCAAATTGGTTGCGGATGAACTGCTCTGAGATTGCTCTCCTCGATGGCCTCGGAGCCTCCCGACTGACCAGCTCCAAGTTTCTCTGCCGCAAACGGCTGGAGGATGAAGACCTGCGAAGGTGAGTTTGGTCCTGCGGAAGGACGCGCCTCTCCCTCG